AGAGGGATGAGACCTATCTATGACAATCATCACTAGATGAGAGAGGGAATCCAAAAGGCAAAAGGCAGCCTACTATCCGGACTGGACTCACTCAGGACTTCCATCTAGAGATATAGAATTAACCCTGCCTTTATAGTAAGTAGCTACATTCCTTGCCTCTCAGATCGGCCTTTGAGGTTCCTCTAGTTGCCTTCTTGAATCACTCTAAGCATAAGACCTTGAATTGCATCTTTGTCTTCTTTCTATAGATAGAGCAATAAATAAGGAATGCATTATAAGAAAGAGGATGTAGCCCTTTCCTTTCTTACTGTACTTGTAGTTGAGTAAGGACTTTAAGCTTATAGTTTTCAGTAGTATACGAAATGTATGGTTGATAGGGCTCTTACCTCCTCAATGTTTATAAAAGAATCCTACCTGAAGGAGAGTGCATCGAAGTGATTCAACCAATAGGTTGAGGAGCGTAAAGTCTACTAGTTGGCTTTCCTATAATCAAATATTGCTTCTATCGGGAGCCGCATAGATAGGCACGATAGAAGAAAAAAAAGGACTTGGCTTTAGTCTTTTTTTATTTTATACTGCAAGTCATAGAAGTCAGATCATGCAAACGCAAGAGCGTCAGTCTACCTTTACTTAATAGGGCTGAATCTAACCTACAATAAATGGATTATCGAGAAGAACCATTTCATGAGACAAGTTCAGTCTGTTGCGTCTACTAGTCCCATCATCGTCGGCTAGTCACATAGCGTGGAAAAAGAACCTAGTATGGGCGATCCGGCTTAGTAACATACAAAAGCTAGCTCCATGATAGAAACTTCCTCACATATTGGATAGGTGGACCAGTACTCACTTGAGGAAGACTTTGAAGACTTGGTTTGGTTCCTCATATTGGATCAGGACCGAACACTAGCAACCTATTCAGGGAAAGAATTGGTTATGTAAGAAATTGGTTGGGGGCTAAGATAGGTTGATACTCTAAACAATAAAAAAAACAAATATTCAATACCAACCTTTTGTTGTACACAATCAATTGTGGAGCTCCTACTCTAGCAAGTCCTATTTACCTCACCCTTTATAGAGTAAGGGGGAGAGCTCTTATTCGACATAGACTACTACGGCCTCTTAGGGGCCCAAAAGAACTTCTATTTTTTAAAGGAAATGTGCGGCTACTCCTTCTCTTGAGAGGTCCCTTCTGGGAAAGTTCCTGAAGGGAGAGAGCAATCCTTGTACTAATTAAATACAAATATGGAAGATTAGGTGCCCCAAAGAACTTATAGTTATTCCACAAAAGGGGACCATACTAGGATAGGCCCAGGCAGGAGAGAGAAGAATAGCTTCTTACACAGGCTTGGCTTGAAGGCTTGACCCCTTTAGTGGCGGGTTTTGAGGAACCTACTTGACTTCCCCTAAATCAATCCACTAGTCGTCGTTGACCCATGATCAATGGCTTAATCCACTGGACCACCTGGAACTGCTCTTGCCTTTAGGATCGACCACTACAAAGGGAAAGAATCATTCATTTCCGTACTCAGACCCTACTCTTTCTATTCTAAGTCACTCGGGCTGAGAGCAATTCTTGGACAGATACACGTGCCTAGCTAGAAGAGGAATTACTCCATTTATGCCTTTAGGCAGGAAGAGAGACCTATTCTCTAACACAATTAGTTCAGTAACAAGATAGCATGCGGGTCTTTCTATTGCTATTTACCTCGGGGAGAGAGGAGGTCTTGCTATATTACTTCATTAGCTGCATTCTTGACCACTGTGACCCTAGACTTCTTGGGCATAACTTGGGTTGGACTAACCCATTTGCTATTGGAGATGGGAAAGATTATCCATGCATCTAAGAGGTTTAGTACCTCAGCCCTCACGACTTCTTTCATGTGAGGGTTCAGTCGTCGTTGCATTTGACAATAGGGTTTTGAATCCTCTTCCAAGTATATAGCATGATTTTAGATTAACGGACTTATACCTTTCAAGTCAACAATGGTCCATCCAATGGTGTTTTTATAGCTTTTAAGAACTTCAATCAGTTTAGACTCTTGCAAGTCTATGAGCTTAGATGAAATTACCACTGGGTATGACTTGTCCTCTCCTAGGAATGCATATTTGAGGTCAGATGGGAGAGGTTTCAATTCGGGCTTTGGTGGCCTGACACTTGATGGGAGTGGCTTTGTGCCACTTGGTGAGATTTCCCCATATTTGGGGGGCTATGTCCTGACAATGAGGGTAGGGCAATCACTTGTCAATTCAGGTGTGAGAGGTTCCAATAGAGATGATTCAGCATGGTTCTTGCAGAATGTGTCGTTCAGATGTTCCTATATCAAAGATTCAATGGAGTTTATTTCTCCCACTTCCACTTCCATTTCCTCTCCTGGGTGCTTGGCAATATTGAAAATATTCAGCTTAATGGTCATATTCCCAAAGGTCAATTTTGTGACTCCATTCCTGCAATTGATTAGTGCATTTGAGGTTGCTAGGAAGGGTCGACCAAGAATGACAGGAATTTGGTTCTCCGAATGTATTGCTGGCTGAGTATCTAGAACAATAAAGTCAACAGGGAAGACAAAGTTGTCTACTTGGACAAGTATATCTTCAATAATGCCCCTAGGGATTTTGACAGACCTATCAGCCAACTGGAGTGTGACACAAGTGGGTTTGAGTTCATCTAGACCTAACTGCTAGTAGATAGAGTAGGGTAGCAAATTGACACTCGTTCCAAGGTCTAATAGTGCTTGTTCGATTATGAAGTTTCCAATAACACATGGCACGGATGGACACTCAAGGTCTTTATATTCTGGAGGAGTTTTGTGTTGAATCAAGGCACTGACTTGTTCTATCAGGAAGGCTCTTTTTTGAACATTCTGGCTTCTCTTGACTGTGCACAAGTCTTTCAGAAACTTGGCATAAGATGGAACCTAATTAATTGCATCCAGAAGTGGAATATTGATCTTTACTTGCTTAAAAAACTCGTAAATTTCAGCTTGATTATTCACCTTTTGTTTAGTTTTGAGTCTATGAAGAAAAGGAGCAGGAATAGAATACGAGGGTTCTTCTTCCCTTGATGGCTCTAGTTCTTGTTCAATTATAAGTTCAGGTTCAACTAGTTCAGGCTCAACTGGTGAGTTAACTTGGATTGACTCAAGTTTTGGCTTAGGAATTAGCATGTCTCTAATGGTCTTGTCAATCATGTTGCCACTTCTCAGTATAATGACAACTTGGGCTTGGTCTTGTGGAGTTTCCATGATTGAAGGGTTTTCCATCGGGAATTGGCCTTGTGGTGGTTTTGGTTGGGCAAGAAACTTGCCCTTCTCATGTGTGCTCATGGATTGGGTTAATTTTTGGATGTGGCTTTTAAGATCCTCGAAAGATCGAGTGGTTTGGGTTTTGAAATCATTGAATCCCTGAGTGGAACTATTGTTATAGTTCATTTGGCTGTGTATAAACTGATTCAGAGTATCCTCAAGGCTCCTCTTTTGTGGTGGTTGGTATGGTTGATATGCGGGAGGTCCTTGAGGTGGTAGTTGCGAACCTTATTGTTGGTTCAAGAAAGTTGGTTGGGTGTTTCTCCAACTGAAGTTTGGGTGGTTTCGCCACCCTGGATTGTATATGTCAGAGTACGGGTTGGAGTAAGGCTTGTTGAAATTCAAGATGACATTTGTTTGTTCTAACAAACTCTTTGAATGCAGGAATGGTTGGACACTCCCTAGTAGGGTGTCCTGTCAGTGCACAAATCCCACACACTTGTTCTGTGGGAGGGCCAACATCAACTTGATGAACCTTTTTTATCTCTAAAGCTTCAAGCTTTCGAGATAAGGTGAACATTTTTGCTCTCAGATCATTATCATCTCTCAAGACATACTTACCCCCTTGGGAAGTAGATAGTTTGGCTTCAACGATGGTAGGGAAGGCTGATTCTCACATCTGAAAACTGTCATAAATGGTATCAAAAAAATTGAATGCCTCTTCCGAACTCTTACTCATAAACTTTCCTTGAGTCATCATTTCGACAAACTGACGTAGGCTAGTGGGCAAAGAGTTATAGAAAAATCTTATCAAAGTCTAATTTTCAAAAGTATGGTGCGGGCAGGATTGAAGTAGATCTTTGAATCTCTCCCAACTTTGATAAAAAGTTTCTCCTCCTTTGATTGAAAAATTCATGATTTACCTTTTCAGCGCATTAGTGCGGTGTAGAGGAAAAAATTTTCTGAAAATTTATTTTGAAGTGCCCGCCAGTCAGGTATGGAAAGAGGTTTTAAAGAATTTAGCCATTGCTTAACTTTATCTTTTAGAGAAAATGAAAAAAGTTTCATTTTGGCTAGCTTAGAATTGTCTTGAAAGGTTCCACATACTTCCTCAAACTCTTTTATATGCAAATATGGGTTTTCTGTTTTGAGTCCATGGAATTAAGGGAGTAGTTGATTTGTCCCCGTCTTTACAATAAAGAAGGGTGTATCTTCAGGAAAGATAAAACAAGAGGGGACACTATTTCTTGTAGAATTTAAGTAATCCCGCAAGGTTCGAATGTTGGGCACCTCTTGTTCTCTCACAGGAACTTCTCCTTGTCTTATATTATTTGCCATATTATTATGAGGAAGGTATACTATTAATCTAGGTGACGATGGTTCAGACTGATTTACAGATCCAACAGATTCTGTCGGCAAATTTTGAAAGCTAGGATCGTCTTTAGACATAAAAAAAAATAATAATAATTGAAACAAATTTATAAGTCTTCTTATCTTTTACCTTAAAACACCTTTTATGGTTCCCCGGCAACGGCGTTAAAAACTTGACTTGATCCGATATGTGTACACCCAAGTGCAGGTGGTCAAGTTGTAGTAATAATCCAGTTAAGTCCAGAGTCGAATTCATAGGGAACTATGATTAGTGTTTTGAAGTAGTAGTGACAAAGACCAAGTACTGTAAACCTTGAGAGTTTGAAGTTGTGGGATTTTCTGAATAGAATATAAAATTCTTTCCAAGAGTTTTCTAGACAAAATATAAGATAAATTCAAATGTAAAACAGTCACCCTTTAGCTCGAGGATCAGAATATGTAGTTAATCATCCGGTTTATTATAGTTGTGCTGGATAACTCAATTAACTCCCTTGTCAATAGCAAGTTAATTGGAAGATAAAATGGACTGTGAGAATTAAGCACATGATTCCGATACCTTTTTAGAAGTTTATAAGAATTGTCCGTGCCGAGACTCAACCCGTCTACAAACAAGCAAGTGTTTTTACAAGGCATCCAATCAAGACATTAATGTTTCATTCTTTAAATAAAGCGCAATGATGATGAAGATTGAAAGGTTGTCATAAAAATCTAACCGGGGTACTTGCCTTGAGCCATTGGACCTTTCTATGCAAGAGTCATCCGTGACATAGAAAGAACCCATGGTTATACAAAGTACCTTAACTTTGCTAGATACATTCAATCATTCAATGAACAAGTGAAATATAAAGCATTAAAGCATAAAGGGATTGCACAAAAATAACTTCCGGATAATTTCTACATTTTCATCACCTCTTATTAAAGAGTGAATGAAGAACTACTCACTCTTCATGGTTTGGGTAAAGCTAGAAAAGTGAGTGATGCTCATCCTTCCAAGTAGAAAACTTACAAAGTAAAGTACAATAAGCGAGGAGCCATTCTTCGACGAAGAATGAGTGAATCACGTTTCACCCTTTATGGCTTTGGTAAAACTCTAGAAAAGTGGAAGAGTTTCAATCTTTTAAGAAGGAAAGAAGCTCAAGCAATGGAAGTGAAATAAAAGAACATTGAAATTAAAAGAAAGCTAGTTACTCTTGGAGGGTGACTTCCTCAACCAAAAGATGGAGGGTTGCTTCCTCAACCAACAAGTGGAGGGTTGCTTCCTCAACTAACAAATGGAGGGTTGTTTCCTCAACCAAGAGATGTAACACAAGCATATATAACATACATCTAAGATTAATCAAAATAAGTGGGAGTCTAAGCCTCCATACAAAATCCTTACTAGTTCTTGGTGTAGTCTAAGCCTACAAACCAAGCTCTAGCTCCTTACTTTACAAGAGAAAAAATTGCACACATGAAGCTCCCTTAATGGGTGTATTTATAGGCAAGGAAGGGGGGAGGGGAAGATAAGAGAAGATGGGTGAATAGTGTATGTCGCCCAAGTCACCAACTACTCTGCAGGCTGTTTGTGGTTTACGTTTGAACGTTGTCTTCTATTTTCGCTTTAGGGGTGTTCGAACGTTGTATGACGTTCGAACGTGTCTTTTGTTTTTGCTTTAGGGGGGTTCGAACGCCAGATGGGATGTGACCATATCACTCAAGTGGTCTTGGTCTTTTGTGGTAACCCATTTTCACACTCCATGCAAGATTTGGAGTTTTGCGCTCATCACTCTGGTCTTCAATCAAATCAGGTGGACGTTCGAATGTGAGTTGGCGTTCGAGCGTGGTACTCATGTATTTCAGGGCCTGCCTTCTTGACTGCAACACGCCAAGTCTCAGCAGTTTGGTCTCCTCATAGTTCCAATGGACGTTCGAATGTGAGTTGCCATTCAAACTTGCTTGCTTTGTTCCAACCTTCTCCAATTTTGCTCCCCAATGCACCGGTGTTACACTCAAGTGTGATATTTGTTGTTCTTGAGCTTTTGTTCACTTTAGGTCCTGAAATGTCATCACTTAAACTCCATCAAAGCACAATTAGTCCCAAAAAGGCATAGTAAAATACTAATTTTAAGCGCTAATCACAAGTCATTATAACCCCATTTTCGCTCATTCCCTTCACTCATACCTTTTCTCAAACACTTAAGATGCCTTGAGGTAATAAGCGAATTCATTTAACTGTTGTACTAAAAATAGCCTTTTATCCTTACTAAATGAACATGAAACCAAATCAATTATAAAGTAGACTTCCTAAGCTTCTAACCATAGGTCATGGGCTCTAAACAGCTTCCCAAGAAAAGCATTACGATTACTTTTTCGTCAGGTAACAAATTTGTCCATAATATTTAGCCCCCGATTTTTAGTCATTTTAAAACAAAAAACTGTATCGACACGGGGATAATCTAGTGTTCTACAATACACCATTGGAACAGGCCTTGAATCTAATTTTCAATGCACCAGACGGTGTACGAATCCAAGTTTTCTAAAGAAAGTTTTCACCGTTTTTCTATCGACTATTCAATTTGCCTGTGAATGCCGAAAATACTACAATCTTTTTAATTAAATTTCCAGCATGCAAAACAAATTCCAATATCTCTACTCTCATATTCCTGCTTCTTAACAGAAATCTCAGTAACCATAATTTTTTTGTAGCAAACCCTGGACTTAAACGAGTTATCATTTAGCTTTTAATAAACATTGTTCTTGCTCTTTATTTAATGAACAATTACACTTTTCATGACACAATACTTGATGCTAATTCCACTTTTAATCAAATTCATTTTCAATATCTGCTATATTCACGAATTCATTATAACCATAATCAAATTTCAAATCTAATTTAGATATTTGGATACATGAGCATAACTTCTACTCACAACAAATAGTAGAACTAAAAGCTTTTTACCAATTAAAAAGTCTTAGGTTCTAGGTTATTCTCCTCTTTTTTTCTTTTTCTTGGCCCTTCCCAACTGAAGCTTTCTCTCTTCTATTTCCATGGAAACCAAAATGAATCATTAATTGAATATTAAAATTCCTATGTTTCAAGGTGTTTCGATTTTCATCTTATTTTCGAAACATTACTGAAATATTTCGTTTCCAAGCTCATCGAAATTATACAACATAACAAAATTGTAATCATTGAATTTGCTCACCAAAAGTTTTGGGTTATTACAATTACCTCCCTAAAACTTAGAAAAAAAATTCTTTTTCACCATTAATTTATTTAAATGAAATACAATGCATGTCAGGGTTTCACATTGCTTGTTTGCTTCAATGGAATCTGCCACTTTTCTCTTTTCATTTTTCGTTTTTGTTTAGTATTTGTAGAGTGAGCATGATAAGTTGTCCCCTTATACGCACCCCTCCCTTCCAATTTAGGTGCCTTGATGGCCTACGTGATGCATTATAATTTGTTGCTGAATGTGCAATCCCCTTATTGGACTGCATTTGAATATGGCACCTGAAAGATATGCCATTGCCAACATTTTCATTGCAGTCTGTAGTGATAGGAACAAGAGTATCGACTTATACATGATAAGCTTTTAAGGGAAACAGTAACGTAGTGCCTGTTAGATGAGACAACTCATAATCCAAACTCTGCATGTTTTCATTTTTCAACCTTCTTTGTTGCTTGCAACTTATTCAGGGAAATTGTGCTTATATTGTGTAGGTGGTTTGAATGGGATGCAGTCAAGAGCAATGATGTTCAAAAGTTGAGTCTAAAATCATCTGAGAAACTTCTTCATCAATTGGAAGATGTTGGACTACAATTAGCACTTACCTTTAATGATGGGGGTTTTGTTCTTGCTGTTGGTGGTGAGGTACAGATCCTCTTTTTTTCACTGTTCTTCATTTCAAAGTTCAGTTCAACTCGACACATAGATTTTCTAAAAGACAAAGTCTAGATATGTTTTTATTGAGTTCAATAAATATTGTTGCTACTGCAAGCTTTGTGGACTTTTTGAATATTCTGACCTCTCCCTCTATTAGTCACACATTGGCAAGTGCGCACACACTAGCACGCACTCGTGGACACATGCAAACATGAACATGTATACACCCTGACACATGACAGCACTTGCAATCATGATTCAAGTTCGCAGTATCATTCATTTTCTTGGATAGGCAATGCGCCACAACATCGCTGGACGGAATCGGGCAATATGCAAGAAATAATAGGTTGAAGAAGTTAGAAATGGCAAAAGATTCATGTCATATTCCAACATCGTGGAATAGTATGAGAGCATACATTGTGATTGATTGACGATGTCATCTGAGTCATCAGAAACATCTCTCAATCAAGCACAAGTCGAGGGTGACTCTTGATTTACACGAACATGTAGCAATCTCGAAATGAAAGGTTCCATAGTCAGATATGACTCTGCTAAATCATCTCGGTATTGGCCAATACTTTGAATCTTGCTTCCAATCTCTCTTTAAAATGGAGTGGTGAGACTCGAAACGAAAGGTTCCATTGTCGGATATGACTCTGCCAAATCATCTCGGTATTGGCCAATACTTTGAATCATGCTTCCAATCTCTTTAAAATGGAGTGGTCATCTACCTTTTTTATTCTGCTTTGTTTTCATTTCAATTTTTCCATTTTTTTGTTCTTTTTGGATGTGGACAACTACTTGATCTGATTATATTGTCAATGACTGTGGTTTAAGTGTATTAGATCTTCTTATTGACAAGCAAAATTCTATTGAAGTGCAGAACTAAAACATCTTCAAGAAGTTTACCGTAAAAACTCCTGCTGAAAATCTATAATGAATCTAAAGCCATTGGAAAGACTTCATCAAAGCAAACAAAGAAGATTGAACATCGAACATAATGATTTGAGCTCATGCAGTAGTAGCTCAACCCCCTCAAAAGTATTTAAATTCATCTATGCCATATTAGGCAAAGAGGATCCCCATCTTGGCTCTACAACCTCATCAACAATACAACACCATCTGAATTGCTTGCGGCATCGCCAAAACCAACCCAATCAAGCGAATGAAAAATGCAACAGTTCCCTGACAACTTCATAATGCAGGAGCAAGTGGTTCACTGACTCCCCCTCTCTTGTACTCCTCAACATCAATTCACACTTTAACAGGATAAGTAATGGAAAGAAATCTTCAAATTTGTTCCTTGTAGGCATCTCTTTCCCCAAACTAGAAAGACATGTATATTGGACCCTTCGCAATCATCCACGTAAATTATGTATTGAACAATGCCTGATAATGTTTTTTGCTACAAAGTGCACATACATGAAGAGCAGAAGTTATTGTATGGTTTACTGATGGTAAGCCATCTTCTATCTCAAGATGCACATTTTAGGATCTGCATCTTGTAAATATTTCCCAAATGCAAGTCCTGGATCCTCTTTAAAGGGGCTCCCACCTCTGAATTGAACAAAGTGGATTTAGATTGAATGTATCATTGTTTTCTACCAGAGGCATTCTGCATTCTTGGTGTCCTGCTACCCTGTCTTTATACTATTCTTATGGAGAGTAGTTTTTTAGTATCCATTTCTGGTGACAGTACAGGATGGCAAGTTGAGGGTTTTCAAATGGCCTAGCATGGAATTTATTCTTGATGAGGCTAATGCCCATGCCTCTGTGAAGTATTTAGATTTCAGGTTCGCAATAATAGCTACATCATTGTGTTGGACTCTTTTTTTTTTTCTATCTGGAAATCATAAATTTTGCATACAAAGAGGTTTCTATTCATTTGTGATTTAAGTTTTCTCATAGAACTGGCTATGTTTATGTCTTGCAGCCCTGATGAAAAATACCTTGTCTCTCTGGGAAGTGGTGGCCCTGGTAGGGTTTGGAATGTTGACTCATCAACTTCTATAGCCTCTTTAACAAAGGAAAATGTAAGAAATTCTTTGTAAATTGTATATAGTGCATATGGAACCAAAGTTTTGTATAAACTTCTTGTTGGGGGCAGGACATTTGCCATAACATGTATATGCTAGCATTCCTCCTCAAAGTTTTTTTGGTTAGTAGTTAGTGAGGTTTGATGTGGTTGACATGCAGTGCATGGTAAGCATATGGTCCTTTAATGAAGATTCGTTCAGTTTGATGAATTGACCTCTAACTCCTTACTGAATGCTTGGATGATGACCATATATGCTTTCTAAATATTGAGTACCTTTTCACCTTGATAAACTTTCATGTAGTGTAAGTTTTTCTTCCACAACTTTGTCTCTAATCGAGTTGTTCATCATGTCCAGGATGAGGTTTTTGGTTTCTGCAGGTTCTCACAAGCTAGTGACAAGAATCTAGTTCTATATGTCATTGCGATGCAAGGTGGATAGAAAATATTAATTATGTTCCTCCTATTTCATTCCCAACGTAAATCCTTCAACTATACTCTTCTATGACCTAACCATCATGAACATTGTTTCTAAATTGTTTAGAGCAAGGTGGAAGTATTGTGAAATGGAATAATACCTCATGGAAGAGGATGAGCTCAAAGCGCATTGTTCGAGGCCCAGTTTCTGCTTTCAAAGCTTCAACTGACGGAAAGCTCCTTGCAGTTTAAGTTCTTTATTATTAGTTTCAAGTGCTTGTGGCATTCATTTACACTATTGTCTTAAAGGTATTATGATATGGTTGTATGAAGTGAGAGATTGAAATATGTGCCTAAGACAGCGTCAAATTATGACATCTCTTGTCATTCTTTTTTTCTTTCTTTGTTTTTTTTTTTTGGGGGGGGTGTTGACATTTCTGTGAAAGCAGCCACTGTTGTAACTGCGTTGAGGTTTCTTGTAGGAACGGTGCATTAGTCACTGTCATCCTTGTTGCCAGCTACTTCGTTTCCTTTGACAGTGTTTTTTTCTCTAACTTGCCATTGGTCAATATGCAGAGGGACAATTGAAGGAGATGTTTTAATCTTAAATTCCAGAAGCATGCGAGTGCAGACCATTGTCAGAAAAGCACATCTTGGCCCTGTGACAGCATTAGCTTTCTCGCAAGATTCAAGGTTTTCATGTAAAAAATTTTCTTTAATTTTCTATTCTAATCAACATAAGCTACAGCATGCCTGTCCTCCCTAAAAACTATAATTGATAGTGAATGTGTGTTTATAATACAGGTCTTTGGTCTCTGCATCCTTGGATTTGAGTGCAAGGGTGATAATTGTGAAGGATGAGGAGAAAAATGGTATATGCCTCGCTCGACTTTNTTTATAATACAGGTCTTTGGTCTCTGCATCCTTGGATTTGAGTGCAAGGGTGATAATTGTGAAGGATGAGGAGAAAAATGGTATATGCCTCGCTCGACTTTTTAATACTAGACAACAAATATTAAAGTATCTACAACTATTATATTACTCGCAATGGTTTGCCTGCCCATATACTCAGAACACCAGCAGCGGGCTAAAACTGGGTCTAGNGAGTGCAAGGGTGATAATTGTGAAGGATGAGGAGAAAAATGGTATATGCCTCGCTCGACTTTTTAATACTAGACAACAAATATTAAAGTATCTACAACTATTATATTACTCGCAATAGTTTGCCTGCCCATATACTCAGAACACCAGCAGCGGGCTAAAACTGGGTCTAGCTCTGATTTGAGGTACATGACCTGTGACTTATGGCCGTACAGTATCAGCCCAAGGTTGTCTTTATTTGATTGACCCTATTTTGGGAGACTGGGAGTTGACCTTCAAATCTACAGACTAATTTGTTCTGATATATTTTGTTTATTAAATAATATCTTAATGCAATATAAGCATGCATATGTACTACTCTTATTCTTGAGGCATTGTTGGAACGGTTTCTTCTGGATATTCCTTTTGTTGGGGCTACCTATTAGACCCCAACTCGGCTGGGCCAGGTCAGCTGGCTTGAACGTGACAGATTGTGGACCCTGTTTTTTATTCTTACTCACATATTATCCTTCTCAATCTATGAACTTATGTATGTTGCAGGACTGAGGTTGTGGGTTATTCTCTTCATCACCGTACTTGCAGTAGCTATGTATTATGCTAAAAGTGAAGGAATTCTTCCTTAGAAGCTAAAAGGTGAGAAATTTGCCTTCAGTGCGGCCAACAAAATGTTCAACTTTTTTACTTTATGAGAGGTCAGAATCACAAGTATTGTATTTGATTGTATGGATTGGTGGAGGCTTTTTCTTGTGGGGGAAAGCAGTATGGAACACAGGTTGGTTGGTGTGCGATCCAATGTCACGACACCATGGTAATAGCCTAGCTTATGACTACGCTAGGTTAGGAATGTTGGAACAATAATTTGAACATGGATTTATATATATCGTGTACATATTTATCCTCGGAACAAAAGCTACTTTTTTTTCTTTTTTATAATTGAATTTATGGAAATTTGCTCCATAATATGATATATTGAATTGGATTAGTTTATATATGATGGAAAACTCTTTTCCTTCTTTATTTTCATATCCATGTATAGATATTGTGAATATAGCACCTGGATACGAGTAAATACTACTTGCAATTCATTGTGTGGCTTTCCTTTTGTCTTGTAAGCTTTGCTTCCTGTATTNTTTCCTTCTTTATTTTCATATCCATGTATAGATATTGTGAATATAGCACCTGGATACGAGTAAATACTACTTGCAATGCATTGTGTGGCTTTCCTTTTGTCTTGTAAGCTTTGCTTCCTGTATTCTCTTGTTTAGAAATTAATAAAGTTGGGGTTTTTTCACAAAAAAAAAAAAAAAAATACTACTTGCAATGTGAACAGCTATTTTCAGTTTGAGCGAGTCCTTACTAAGGATGAGTAGCTAGGATTAATTCGACAGGTCACAGTGGATGAAATAGAGAAGGTTGCTGCCATTAAGGTATTTTCACATACTGGAACTTTGAAACCAGACCCCAAGCTTCATCTCATGCACAAGGAGTATANTTCACATACTGGAACTTTGAAACCAGACCCCAAGCTTCATCTCATGCACAAGGAGTGTATTTGGTCTGACAATCATCCATTCGTTTCAACAAGCCTGTTTTCCATACACTGAATCTTTGGACTTGAATACTGCAATCTTTGTTTGCATTAGAACCTTCTCTGGATGGATGCTCTTCTTGTCCAGTCTCCACCAAATTCATAGCTTCATTCAAGTCAACCGCAAATGTGTCAAGGCAAATGCCATTTTTGGGCCAGTGCAGACACCTCTAAAGATGCCCGGAGTTCTGTGATGATGCTGGCTGTGCACCACCAAACTCACGCTNAATCTTTGTTTGCATTAGAACCTTCTCTGGATGGATGCTCTTCTTGTCCAGTCTCCGCCAAATTCATAGCTTCATTCAAGTCAACCGCAAATGTGTCAAGGCAAATGCCATTTTTGGGCCAGTTTAGACACCTCTAAAGATGCCCGGAGTTCTGTGATGATGCTGGTTGTGCACCACCAAACTCACGTTAGTCATCGATGAGACCTCCCCTGCCATTCAAGTAGTTTATGTGTGCATGATTAATACGTTTTGATCTGTAGTTGCATTTTCATATACATCTATGGCCAGGTTTTAGAAGCAAATTCATGGATAGCACTTCCGTAAAAAGGAACTTAGTTTGAGTAAATATTCAATATAACAGTAATAGTAATAGTGTGATACTAATTCAACATCATCACTAATATATGATATCATTAACTCCATAACAAGCCTGACCGTTGAAAAGAATATTTACTCCCTTGGTTCAATTCACTTTACGAATCAATGGTTAAGACATGTGATTTTATAGTTAGGAGTATCAATTCATGTCATTCACCGAGTCATGCTAGTATCAATACCCACAAAAAAAATATTTAATATATTATAAATATCAAATATTAATTCAACTCATTTATTTATCACTCTTGTTAATTTTTGAATCGAGTCTTATTAGTCAATCAGATTGACACCTATCTTGCCCCCAAAACCACTCATGTGAGATAAAATGAAAAGGTCACTAGTTGCCAGCATAACTGTAGTGAGTCTTCCGGTGCCACTGCTGATCACAGCAGTCCATGCAATAACCAAGGGAAATCACAACATTGAAGACATTCGACACTAGGTTTTTTAGCCGCTCAAAATAACCTGCAAAGAGAGGTCCAATTTACAAAATCATAAATGCTTATTTTTCTTATTAGACCTTAGGAAAGGATCATTACTCAATTGAATGCCTGTTAATAGGATACTTGGAGAGGGTTGCATCTGACACAAATTCTCATCAAAAAAATGCAAAGGGTACAAACTATTTACACAAAGTGGCTCTCTAATTCGAACCCACAACACCGTGATTGTTAGCTCGATACTTTTACCATTGCAACATGCAATGGTGGTCCTGTTTGCTCTTAAGCTGGAACAAACTAAATTACTGCGTAATAATACTGGGAACATCAATATGGTATTTCACCATTGCATTCAACCATGAGTACAATACAAGATTGTTTTATGTGTTCCTTTTCAAAATTCATGACCAAACTCTCAGCAAATGCATCAAAAGAACGAGTTTTCCATGGAAGGGAGCTAATAAACAACAGCCTTAGACAGTGTAAAAATTACAGTTCATGTGACGTGAATAAGTTGCTTAGAGAGGCTTCCCTTGGTATTTCTCAGGAGTTACTGTGAACAAGCTGTGAAGAAGCTGGGAATCTGTTGAGGTCAAGTTTGTAAGAGGAAAAAAAATCAAGGTAAAGCAGGACTTGCAATAAATCAATTCAAAGTCATTGGTGCTTCCTTTGATAGACTGAATAGCCAACAAAAGCGGACATCAGAAATGTCCACAGCACCTGCAATGAAATAATAAGATAAATGTACTTCTCAAATTGAGTTAATGTATGGTTTTTTTTTTTTTTTTGACATGAAGGTAAAATCCTGTGTTAAATCAAAGGGTAACAATATCATGGAGAGAGTATGGGAAGCACTGCATTGATTGTTTGCCACCGTTCAAGTCTTCTAACCCCCGACTGCATGTCTTCAATTACACCTTCTAATGGAGAAACTTCCCTACTTGGTGACTAGGAAGCTGAGCTGCTAACCTGTTTGTCCACCAAAGTATTACACTGTAACATCAGTAAATGTAAAAGATAAAAATACAGGACTCGTGTTGGATTATTTATCTTTTCTACATGCAAATAATGCACACACACTACTGGTTTGTCAGTTTTCACTCATTTGCATGTTACTGGATGGAATTTTTAATAAATTGGGGTGTGTCTGGGACCACAGATCCAGAATGATAATTCTTTCCATGCCAAGTTCTTCATCTTCAACTACTTTCTTAGGATTTATATCAGACCGGTCTTAGTTTTGAAGAAAGAAAGCTTTACTTTGGCCTTTAAATAAGAGATGGAGACATGTTGAAGGCAAGAGTTGCCAGCTGATAGACCCCAACCCTCCTCAGCCTCTCTTGATCAAAGATTTTGCTTCTGTTTATAAATATTTCTTCCATTGTTGCTGAACATATATACGTTACTTCTTTAAATTTGAGTTTATCCATTGGAGTCCATTGTATCAAATTAAACTTTTTACTCAAATGTTAATTTAAATTTAAGTAAAAATTTGAGTAATGGTTGGAGATGCTCTTAAGAAGTTCAAATTGTCCATCTGGAGCTATTAGGGATAAGTGTAGGGTTGTTCATAGTTTGGATAAGGTTTATTTGAAAAGTGTTAAACAACTATCTACTCCAAAAACTTAAATTGTTGACGAAAGTGCAACTTAAATATTTATACTTTAACACGCCTCCTCACATGCGGACTAGATTTTGGGCCTAACACGTGAAAACTCTTTTAATAATTTAGAGTGGCGACAAGATTCTAACACAGGACCTCTTGCTCTGATACCATGTTAAACAATCATCTACTCCAAAAACTTAAACTATTGGAGAGGGTGTAACTTAAGCATTTATGTTTCAAAAAGGAAAAAAAAAAAAATNCATGCGGACTAGATTTTGGGCCTAACACGTGAAAACTCTTTTAATAATTTAGAGTGAC